ATGATAGTCCAGAAATAAAGTCCTCTATACATTTAGATTCATACTGGATCTTTACTCTTCAAATTGGAGGTCGTTAACACAGGAAAGATTAGASCTTAACTTATATATACGCTTCTGTTTCATCGACAAAATTTGTCAAAGAAAGATTTATCAAATTTAATATTTTGACCTCGTCGACACTCACTGCTAGCGTTTTGCATTTGTGACACTATTATTTCTCGGAGATCAGTTTTAAGATCTAATTCATATGTGGAAGAAGCATTACCCTGTTATCCATCAAGCCTACAATTGCAGCAATATTTATGTATGCATATTAATAGAAAAAATCTAAAACTAAAATGTTAACAAGTTTTGTCATGACAATATTAGACCTTCCAAGAGAAAAGAAGACTAGAGTGAGCAACTAGCACCTTATTACAGGTAGGTTGCCTTTGTCGAACGTAAAAAAGCGTGTCGGTCACGAACCCCCTCAGTTACTGGATCATTCTACATCTCACTCTGACTCTAGGGGTCCGCAGTAATTTGGTGTGTGGTTTTATTGTCTGGTTGTGACCAGTCCTAGTGACTGGATTACTCTATATCTGATACATCTAACCTATCCAGGGGTCCACAGACAGATTAATTGGCCTCTCATGAATCTTGCCAATAGCGGACATCTCGGTTGGATTACATCAGAAACTTGCAGAAACTTGTCATTTAAAACTGTGTAACTGCTTTGAAGCTAGTATAATATAATGTAACAGCTTCTATGATTCAAACTAAACTCTTCTCTATTGCCGATCGAAGACCTTCCGACAGCCAGTTRGCAGAATGGGTGCTTGACAAACAATAATAAGCTAACAGGTAAAATCATTCAAATTTTAACTCTTTCTAAAAGCTGTCAGGAAATAGAAGGTTTTTCATTAAAAAAAGACGTCAATGGAAAAATAATATTAATACCTCTCCTTTTTCAAAATTTCAAATTTTCAGCACCCGGGAATCCAACTAACATTGCCGGATTAAACACGTTATACTATATCATTTGAATAAATAGAGGATATTACATGGGCGCGTGGAGATACGGATTTTATCTTCGAGTGTTGAARAGATCTCTCACGAGTGAAGATTTTCAACACGAGAAGATAAAATTTGTATCTCCAAGCGACCATGTAATATTYTGTTTATCATATAATTAAATATGAAAGCAAGGTCTGTCTTAAAATACCTTTTTTCTTACTTCCACTATATAGAGAAACCTCGAATGTGTTATTTTCACTAGTAATTTTACGTAATGGAGAAATATAGGTATTTCATAGATAATTATATGATAAAGTGATCTTCTCTATGAGTAATACTCATAGACAAGATCACTTTATTCACTGAAGGCAATCTTCTGTCACTGTTATATTCATAATATTTATTTTCCCATGCTCCCTTTCGGTCTTAGCTTTGCTAGATGTAACCTTTTCGAATCCGACTACGTTTTTTCAATTAGGTATATACTTGAAAAGTGGTCATTGTCTGATTAATTTGCTCTTATTGCGATCTTGCAAAAATCGCACTCCGATTGGCTCATACTAGATCTGAACTTTTTGCTACAGACTAACCCTTGCCTTTGAAATCATTGGTATAGATAATTATGGCCAGCGAAGAGCCAGCGCGTTTGATGGCTTTTGAGGCGCATTCAAAACTGATGCAGCATAGGACACAGTAACTAAAGAACAAGCTATCAATACTTTTCATAAAGTTTGCCTGGAATATGACACATAACGACGCCGATATAGCGGCTAGCAGTTTTGATATTTGGTACATTAATCTGTCACAAGTATGGCTAATAACTTTTGAAATAATATAATATTAGTGCGTATTTATACCTTTTTTGTTTTAAAACACTGTGTAGATTGAATGCAAATGAAGTTGGAGAGATATATTACGAAATCCAAGACGAAATCCAAGATGTCGGACAAAATTTTATTTGGTTGYACGATGAACTGTTTTGTAGTATATATTTCTTCCCTCTTGAAAGATTATTCTCCCGACTAAATTTTTGATCTACTTTTCTTCATATTTTCAAATTTCAAAACTTTCTGATTTCTGGTAACATTTTTAATTGTTCTCGGTTCGTTTCAGGTGTTTTCTTTTTTTGTTATATGCTTGTCGCTTTCTTTGTCTTTTTTCTTATTGCTTTATTTTGTATTTTCTTTCATTAATTTACTTAAATGACTTTCTTCGGTAATTAACACACATAAGAGGAGAAATCATGTTATATAAAAAACCTTCAGTGAATCGTCTTCAAAACAAAAATACTAGAATATGTTTTTTCCTGAATGTCGGTCCAGACATTAGATGCTTGTTGAGATTTAATGAATTCATTAATGGACTCCCCTCGGGTAATACCATCTTTGAGGCTTCAAATTAAGTACACTTACATTCTTAATTCATATACATTGCTTTAAGAGCATTGCGATTCGGAATAATTAAACCTATATTTGCTGATGTTCCATGGAACTAGAACTGATGCTTCATTGTTTTTTTCGGCACTTTTCACTTACTCTATTGTTGTTTGGATGTGTGTACAAGGCAACGTTTCGTAAATTAGTGTGCTGTTCGTTAGATTTCCAGTATATTTGCTACATTTGGAGTCGTAGCTGTAAGCTTTATTTTGTCACTTTGTTGAATTCTTAAAATCGAAAATACTTTACACTGTGGTGAATACGTTGTTCAATGATTGCTTGTCAAGTACGAAGTGTTGATTCCATTGTTCGATCTTTCCATATCGTTATGGGTAATTAAAGTCACCAATAGACGCCTGACGCCGTTGATTTGACTGCTATTCCGAATATTTGAACGCAAACCTTCATTATTTATTAATGAGCACAAGAGGAATGTTTGATCATTCATTGAAAGATGTCATATACTGTCGATTTCACTCTGTTTACGTAACGAAGTACTTTATTTGAATGTCTTGGCGACACTGGATATCTACGAAATGTTCTCAATCGCGGGCCTGTGGACTTAGTATAAAATTTGGGAAGTAATGATCTTGTTCATATTTTTAAAAGGTAGGTCTTTTTTGCCATTATATATATATGGCTTCAGGTAGTTTTGCCATTGTTGAATGTGTTATTTTATAAGCTTAATAAGGTTTATCCATGGACTAGTATTCAACCTAAAAATGTCCCCTATATTCGATTTCAGAGAATGTTAGAGCTTACTCAGGAATATTCATTGATATCCGGCAGTGATATTGATTGATAAAAGCGATCTGAGTTGAAGCTTTGTTTTCTAATAAAACAATGTTGCGATAAGTTGGTGAGATTTCCTTCTATCTTACCACAATCCTAAACGAAACTCTAAGCTTTCATGTCATGTCCTAACCACAAAGGACAGATACTTGTAAAGCTCGAAAAAAATTCCCAATCAGTTGTGGTATACATACTCTTGTCGTTTTAATAAAAACGTACACATGAACACATACGTTTCTTCCTATGATAATCAAGAACGACATTAACAATGAAAAAAGGTGGGAACATATTCTGACGGAAAACAGAAGAATGAAGAAAACGTAAAAAAGATATTTCTTTAGACTTACAAGTGCATCAAAACTGTTCAATATGTTGAGAATAAGTGATTTTTATGTCTGTGAATGTTATGTTTTGAAAGATCAAAAGCCTTGTTTATCAGTGGGGGTGAGCAGAGGCTTCGCACACTGGATATATTGTTATCGTTTTCATCAGAACTCAAACCATTCAAACAAAACTATTCCAGCGACAAACCAGGCAAAAATCAACCATGAAAAACAAAAAARATTATGACGTATTCATTGTAATGTGTTTGAGCCCATTCAAAGTGGGGAATTTCCCTGAGTAGCAACTGAGAATGAAAAACAATGAGTGAGGTGTGATTGTATGTGTCTTGTGGCCATCACCCATTTTACCGCATTACATTGCCTAATACCATTATTCAGATTTGCTAAATTTTCGTAATGTAATCTTGCCTCAGGTGATCAATAAGGCACAAACAGTCCCTCTGTTAGAAAAGATCTCTTGCACTTAAGAAAACACATGAAAAACGTTAAAGCTTGTACCAGCTGTGTAACTATGTAAATGGATATTTTCTGTTAGTCTTAAATGTGATACTATAACGGTTCAACCAGGTAAGCAATCACTTTACATTTTCAAGTAAACAAATCAAAAACGCTCTGAGAGAAATGGAGACGAAACCCCACTAAAGAAGTTTTGTGATGCTTTTGACAAATTTGTATATCTTCAACACATTATAYCTCGGCCGCCGTCTGAAAGCTTTGATAAAAGCAGCCAAAAACAGTAACTACAGCATATTTGTTCAATGTCTTTTCTGGTTTTATGATTTTTGAGAAGATTTTTTTTTTGTTTGTTTGGGATCTACTATATTTGAGAATATAGACTTCACCTGTAATTTTGTTTTCAAAATATTCTCACTTTGAGGGGTCTCTCGCGTACAATGTAAACCCTATTTTTAGTCGTAAATTSTTTTTTCTTCCAAAAGATTTTTTTATTGCACAGTTTTGTGTTTGTAAGTTGGAAAAGAAGCTTATCATATTATTATAACATGTGTGCAAATCTGTGACTATTGCAATAAAGATTTTTGGAGATAACGGAAAAGCACTACTGAAAGGTGCTTTGTGTATTYATTATTGATGGGCAACRCTGACCCATAAAAGGTAGTCACATAAATTTCATTAAATGAAGACAAAAGTCAAAACTTATGGACTTCTGATTAAAAACTTCGATGGCAATTTTTATTGTTTTCTGTGTTCTCCTAGTCAGAGCCGTTTTAGTCGGGCGGCTGTTTGTGTGGAGAARAATGAAATGCATGSCGTGCGTGAAAAACGCTGCACGGGAGACTAATAGTTCTTCAATACATGAGTGAATGCTATATGTATCAGCCATTACAAAAAAAAATCCATAGTAATGTCACAAGTAGATTGGCGTATTGTAAGGACGACTTTTATTTCCTGTGGCTTGAATTGGAAGCTGCATAAATGTTGTGAATAAGCCACATCTCACAATTGTAATTKCTGTTAAGTTTAATGAATTTGCAAATGATCCTCGATATTTCCTATATTTAAACTAGTAATGCCGTGCCTAAGAATATACTTAAATTATGATACAAATGTCCCTTGAAACTGCATTAGGATGGAACGTGAATAGCGTTACACCGTTGCAATACTAACAAGCTGCTTTGCGTGCATTTGATTCGCGTGACCAACACGTTAAAAAAAATTATCATCAGATAAAACTGCATGAAATAGCGCACGTCAAGTGAGCATTTCCATTATTACTCGGGCTGCCCCCAGYGTGACCGACTTTAGGTTTACTTCTTTCTAATCTATCTATATATCTATTTAAGCAATAAACTATGATTTGCCGCGTGTTTATCGGTAAAAGAAACCACACGGGGATGCTTGGAGAACACGAAAAACGTCTAACTAATCATGAGCGCAGCGCGTTCTGCCAGCCTTTACGATTCAAAACTTCTTCCAGTGCAAAGGTTGTGCATTGTAGTGTTTGTGAAGAGAGATCCAGTCTCCTCCAAGCGTACAATTGACCTGCGATGATTTCCACGTATATGTTTTTTTGGAAGAGAAAAAAATATGGTAAAAATATTTTTAAAAAACTAAAAAAATTTGAGCTGTTGGGAAAGATGTCCAGCATTGTGCTGCTCAGTTAAATTGTGTAGCAGAAGTGCGGCGGGAAAACTTACATGAATTCTTCTCCAGTGACCGCCAATCCGCAGGACAACATTTAAACTTTAGCAATACGGAGAATCAAGCACTTTCTATTTCAGAACAATTTCAACCTCGATAAATCTAAATTCTTGAAATGCTGGTGCTTTAAACCGAATGAAACAATCCAGTGGCATACCGTAAATTTTCACATGTCAAGTTATGTCCAATTAAAAAYAGCACGATATGAATATTTTGCATACATGTCAGGCAACAGTTTTGGTAGCATCTGATTGGTCCATTTTCTTATCACGTGCTGTGATAAAAAATGGGGAATGCAGGTACTTGTGATGGCTTAGGGTTTTCTAGAATTTTCCCGACACAAACATCGTGTTATTCACAAATAYCAAACTTACAGTATCAGATTTATACTATCGAACCCAGATATTTCATTATTTTTTTTAACAAAATTTTAAGAAAATATCATAATTGCTTAAATRAGATAAGCCCCAACTTCAGTAATTTGTGATATATCATATTACTAATACACGGTGTATATATTAGTGTTATGTGTTGAGGTCCGCTTGTCGCAGCAAGACTTCAACAAAATAGTCCGAGAATTACTATTCTTAAGTACCGACTTCTTCTTGAAGCACCTATCAATAGTATCCTTTTGTTGATTTATTACTYTGAAAATGGAATTTCCACTCTTCAAAATGAGGTACTGTTTCTGTTATTTCATGCTTTTTATTTCAGAATTTACATTTTTTTTCTATTTTATGATTCCAAGGACATAAATATTGTTTCAMGTCCYTGTTTGTCTTGTAGTTGCATGCTTAGGAATGTGCGAAAAATCACTTATTCMACTGATTTAATGGTGAATAACGAAGYATTCTGTTATTTAACGAGCTGTAATACAATAGTGTRTTTATTTTCAAWGGCAAYGACTGTAGCTTTTGTATTGAAAATAACGCAAACTCTTTACAAAGTTGTTACGCTGGGCATTAAATTGGGACCAAWTTTCTATATCAAGGGGATTTGCTATTTCATAGTTTGAAGGCGGTGTTGACAGTATCAATGAAGGCAAACTATAAGAAATTTTGGTAGATCGTTGAAAGAATAATTAAGACATCAATTTTATAACCAATATTTACTGCTAGTATGTTACAATTCCAAGCAATTTTGGTTGTTTACGTAAAAAAAACAGGTATAAACTCAAAATCTTTAATATACATGAAAATATAAGTTGTGAAACTTTACAGTTCGAAAAAGAAATTTATATMATAAAAGAAGCTTTTTTTAAGGTTATCGTGCGTGCTCGGCGCTAATTAACTTAATAATGAGTTCCTGTCTTGTTTTGACGAGCAAATGAAACGTCAGACTAGACAGACTTCCTTTCAAAWYMAWWAAAAATACCACCACCGCTTAATTAAGAGATTGTCTAAAAAAGTGCAATACGTTAAAACTAAGAAAAACAAAAATACCAAGTAATTTAACTGCTGATAGTCACACACAAAATTCCTGCTAAAAAATAGGATTATTGTTTAAAAGTATGAATTTAAAGGCCCATCAGAACGAAAAAGATGGCATTCTTGTGTACTAGTTGTGTATTGTTTATTATTAACTTTGCTTTTTGGACGGCACACGTAGCAGTATGGCAGCACAGCCGCCAGACCCCTTAGTAGTTTTTTTTTAGATCCACCAAATTATATCGTTTAGTGTTCTCGTCATACGTGAAGAAGAGCAACATATGCTTATGTTGTAGTGTGAASCTACCTAAAACCCAAGCTGTGTGGTCCATAATCGGTCTTTAACATTGTCTTCTCGCTTTTTAACAGGGTTACCAATCTAGCGATGCACCTTGGTGTTGCGTACCTTGTATTATGCACATTCAGTCTTTGGTGCACGAAGGCGCAATGTAGCAGCGGGTAAGTAAATACATGTATAGTCGATTGACAAAAGGTTGTCGTCGGCCGGGTTTCACGAAACGCGACTAGCCCGAACTGGTTTCTGGGTAAAAAATCAATGAACTAAAAAGCAAAAATGAATTGGCAAATTAGAGATTTGAACGCCTTTGTGATTGAAAGAACTGACACATAATATGTGAAAAATATTTCCAAATCACAGAATTTAATTATGCCAGCATGTGATGTTGATTTTTGCATCTCATGTTGTATTCCATCATGGCAGGGAATACAATGTTTGTCTTTGAGTTCTTAAAAAGAGGGAAAAGCCGAAATAAATTGACACTATACACCCTTTTAATAAGTCCCAAGGTATTGTTTTCTCCGCACTTGACGTCAAATTTATTCTTTTGAAATTTTTVMAATACAAAAGGAATTCAAAAGAATAAATTTGACGTCAAGTGCGGAGAAHRYAATACCTCGGGACTTATTAAAAGGGTGTATACTAGAAGGTTTTGTTATGCCTACAAGTAATTTGCCAGTTCATTGATTTTTTACCCAGAAACCTGTTGGGGTTGGTCGCGTGCTACTAAGTCCGGTCGACCGGAATAAACGAATAAACGTTTGTCCAATGTGTGTTAGTTTGATACATTTTTTGCCACGACACCTATTAATATTAATTCTCAGTTTTTATGTAAGTTTTCTGGTGGAAAATRTTATTCTTTATTTTTTATATTTTTTGGGAAAAAAAATACGACAATCATTTGTTTTCTCCCTAAAATGGAGAACGCATTTTGTTTACTGTTTATAGTTAATGTCTACACTATGGCAGCTTTTATCTCAAAACCGTCAATTGCGTTAAAAATTTGACAGTAAATGTAAATTTACCGCCTCTTTTTTAAGTTAGTCGAAAAACGCTGATAAGATTTTTGTCCATCTTTTGTTGTTCTTTAAGCAGCGCTATAAACATTCATTATTTTATCCAGGTTAACGCTACCGAGATTTTTTAAATTATGATATTGAAACTTCAGAAACCACGAAGGACGAGGATCAAGAGTGGACTCTAAGGAGAAAGCTCTGCAAGAGAGTAGAAATAACGCATATAATCTATCTGTGTTCATCAATAAAGTACTCAATGCATCTGACAGAAAGGTTCGGCCTAACGCTGGCGGAAAACCAGTTATGGTACTTATTGAATTCAAAGTCATCTCATTTGGTGAGATTAAAGAGGCCAACATGGTGAGTTACAAAATAGATTATGGGATGTATGTCTACCGATTGAATTGYAAAATATTGAAGGACCATCATTCTTAGTTCTCTTCTTACACCATGGTACTCGGCTRCAAAAAGTCSAAKCAATCCCAAYCACCATTCGGGCAATCAATCAATCATAACATAATCTGACAATTCATCCTTTACTTTATCTTTAAAAAAAACTGAAACGCAAGTTCGCATCGAAGACGAGTCTTATAATAAAACTATAAATTTAGCTTTGAATGAATCGAATAACGAGGACGGTTTCCGCTGACAAYCACCATGGACGAGCATGATATCTTCGATCGAGATGCTCTATTGTTTAAATGATAATATAAAAATTAGGTAACACCTAATAGCGGAGCTCCAATAGCAATATAGAAGCTGAAAATGATTATCTAGTACTGCTATTTCAAAGGTAGATGCTTTGTTCTAAGGAATGCGAGCTACAACAGTTTTGTTGACATGCGAACAAATATTATAAAGAGTATGTTTATGAGAATTTAGTTTGTACTAATATTGACTTCGGTCAAGAGAAAATGAGGTAAGAGAAGGAACCCTGGTACCCATCATATCAGCCCTTCGTTATATTTTTAGAAAAAGAGCTATTTTTAGTTTGTTACCGCGCGACCACTACTCGTTTATCGGAATTTGATATCGGCTATTTTTCATCGCCAAAAACTGAATGTCAAATACTGTTCGAGAAAAGCTACGAAATTCGCTTTTAAAAAGGAAACTTCTTGAAGAAGAAAAGGAATCTTCTTCAAAACAAAGAAAACTTGAAAGTGTCTTCAACTTCAGACGTATCAGTATCTTCGTGACCCTGCCCGACACTTTCACCATTTATAAACCAAAACCACTGCTTTCTCCTTCTTCCTCTGCATTTACCGCTTAATATCAAATCGTTTTCGTTCACAAAAGTAATCTCTCTCTCTACCTCCATTTTGAATTATTTTCTCGCGTCTTACCACAAACGGCTGAGCGACCTCGCCTCATACGATCTGACCAATCATGTTCCATTTCTAAAAATAGCTCTTTTTCTAAAAATAGAACGAAGGGCTGATATGATGAGTTAAGAACGCAGTACCAGGGATTCCTTCTCTTACCTCATTTTCTCTTGCTTYGGTAGACTTTGTTCCGTTGGATGAAGTTTAAAATTATAATCTATTTAGGTCAATTGATTAAAAGTAAACTGAAAGCTTCTCGGCAAAAAGTAGTCTACATAAGCTTACAATAATCAAAATTGTTTCAATAATCGATGTTTGAACCCGGACTACTCGAACTTCACATAATCACAGAAAACTGTATATATTTTTTACCTTCATTATCGAAATTATCGAACTGAAACTTTTTAGCAAGGCTCAAAAAATCAAATCTATTCATATTTTGTATATTGATAAGGTATGATTAGATAACAAGCGCTGTTTAATTTCATTTTTCGCAAGAAAATCGCTAAACAATGTCAGCTCTTTGCGTGACAAAKGCTTGGTTGCTCAAAATAGCTCTCAAAGTAGCCAAACTTCATACCGAGTTCATGTAAAAACTAAAATATCTATTTTAGAAATTTATATTGCTGCTTTCTTACTAACTCTTTTTTATTTATTTAATTCATTTTCAGACCATTTAATTAAAAAGAAAATATTCTGGAACCTGAAATATTTGCACATGTATTTTATATGCAAATTAGCACCTTTACAAAACGATCAATTTTATTTTATAATGTGCAAGTATTTTGCTTGCAATAAAATTCGGAGTGATTGATGCAAGATATGAGTTTTTCAAATACATAAAAATTAGTCTGGGCARATCACTCTCAGTTGCATAGAAATGAATACTTCTGGCGATAATAATCAGATGAAAAAAATTTTTTAACAACCGAAATTCATTTATATTGCCTAAAATTTTCAAAGAAAATAAGCTTAACCCTTTGTATTTTAATAACATACATTTCATGTTGATCAGATGTTTATATTTTATAAGCTTTGAAAATTGTTCGGTTAACACAACTGACTCGGGGGTGGAGGGGGAATATTTCATTACGATATACCGCATTCCGTTCTTCTCCAGGGGATTCCCATTCCTTGATAATATTTCGGAAGATGTTCCCTATGATTTTAGTTTTTAAGTGCTAGGTAGCACATAAGTTTTAATTTCGTTTAATTCATAAATTTATTAAGCTGCCTGAGTATTTCATATTCTCGCTTTTGTGTGTGTTTTMTCGAAATATTCCGTATTCCGTACAGGGAATATTCAATATTCCTGTAAGAGTTTGAAGTACGATATTCAATATTGAATATTCCCCTTCCACGTCCCTTCCAACTGACAAAATACGTGTTTACGCTGATAATTGTGACTAGAATAAGTGATTCCTACACACCTGAGAGTGAYTTKCCCAGACTAATTTTTATTTCTTTGTAAAGTTCATGCCTTCCTTAGTAATCTCTCTAATYTCTCCGAATTTCATTGCAAGCAAAATACTTGCACATAACAAAATTGATCTTTTTTTAAAGGTACTAATTTGCATATGTAACTACATATGTAAACACTTCGAGTTCCAGAAAATTTTCTTTTCAGTTAAATGCTCTGAAAATCAACAAAATAAATAACTTAGTTACTTAGAAAGCCAAAATTCGAATTTTCAAAATTATTATTTTACATTTCACACAATCGCGGTAGAAATTTTGGCTATTTTGAGTGCTATTTTTAGCCATCAAATATTTCTGATGCAAAGGCCCAGTATGTGACATTGCTTAGCGATTTTCTTGCGAAAAACGAAATATTTTCAAAAACCARTTACACAGCGACTGTCACCTAATCATACCTTGTCTATATACAAAATATGAATAGATTTGATTTTTCTAGCCTCAATTCAAAATTGCTTGAGAATGGCATCAGAGGATGTCGAAACGTCGCAAAAATGAATCTAGTTGCGTTTGTCTTTTTGATTAACTTTTCTAGCCTTGCCAATAAATGTCTGATTTTTGCGCGAGGTGGCTCAACTTACTTTTTTTTAGGAATACTCGTTTGATATATTCTTGAGGCAATGGTGGAACGATCCAAGATTTGCTAACAACTTCACTAATCCTTTCACGATGGCTGCTGATCCAACTACGATGTTCTGGACTCCTGATACTTACTTTTGGAATGTCAAAAAATCATCTTACCATCACGTGACAAGAGAGAATATGCGTGTCATGATATGGCCTGATGGGAAAATTTACTTCAGCTCAAGGTGAAGTGTATATTCGTAATATTAGATCTCTTGCATCGCCTACAAAGATGTCTTCTCATAGGGAAAGAGCTATTATAAATAATGTAAAAGAACAATAGTGTTGAGATAAAGCTCACCTTTTCCAATAGCTTCAATTCCTCTTCGATATGAAAATATGTTACAGCCGGTGATAAAAAGGCTTACTTAAAGACATTTCTGATAACTGTTGATTTTCTAGCAATTTTAAGGATTTTTGTATAGCCTTTGGCAGAGCTAATYTGTGTTGGACTAAGAGAATATAAACTTTCGATCTCGTTTGCAGGATAACCATAACAGCACAGTGCGACATGGATCTCCGYCTGTATCCCATGGATACCCAACATTGTCCTCTTATAATCGAAAGCTGTAAGAAKCAACTTAACTCATTKAGCATGATCTGACTGCCGGGTAGAATCTCAATATYTTTATTTTCTTTTTYAAGATGCGTATACTACTAAYGATCTTAATTACACTTGGAAAGGAGGCCAGTCGCAAGGRATCGAGATCGTATCTAAGGAAATGGCTCAATTTGATTTGATTGATGTTAGGACAGCAACAAAGAGTCAGAAAAATAGCAAGGGTAAGGGCATAATGGCAATACTCTCATTTCGAGTTCTGGTTTGCTTCTATGTTATCTAATGTTAGCCTTAAAAACCAAGCAACCATTGGTAGCCCGAGAAAACGCACGGAATTTTGAAAAGAAAGACAATGAAATTGATTTGAAATCTTATCTCACACTTTTATGCTCACAATGATTTGGAAGATATTTTGCACGAAATAAGGAGTATGAGCTGGAGTATTGACAGAATTAATTGAATCTATGAATTTTGGTATGATTTCTCCCACAGGTTCGTTTGCCAGTTTAACCGCTACRTTCTCCTTCAGACGACGGACAGAAAGTTTCGTGTCTTCAGTGTATGTGCCAGCGGTTGTTTTAGTCGTGTTGTCATGGTGCTGCTTCTTTATCCAGCCCGAGGCTGTCCCAGCACGCATTGGTTTAAGCATTACCACAATCCTCACTTCGATCTTACTTCAAGGCAGTGTCAATAGTAACATGCCTAAAGTAAGCTACATGAAGGCTGTAGACTACTTTCTACTCACATCATTCGGGTTTATTTTTGCTGCACTGTTGGAATACATTTTAGTGCTGAATAGTGGCCCTCARTTCGATTCCAATAACGTTTGCAAACGAAGCACATCAGAGCAAATGGATTTGACAATTGATGTAAGTACAAGGATTATTTACCTGTGTTCCTCTTTATCTATATGTTAAAATAACAATGTTCCTAACTGACTAGCCTCTCTCTCATGTAACAATATCAAAGGTTTTTCTGAGGAATTCTTATTCAAATTTGTCTGCCATTTTAAGATTCGGTTTATTCCTTTATTCCATTTATCTATGTCTTACTAATCTACGTATCTACCTACCTYACCCACCAAGAGCCTATTACTGGGGGCGGACAACAGGGACTTCCATCCTGAGCCARCGTTTTCACAGATAATTTATTTTYGCATTCTTTTTATTTGATTAACTTTTGCATGAGAATCACGCACTGATTGGMAACTGTAGCATCTTTTGCCTGTATTTAATCTATTCCAGATTGAAGATTACTTGTTGCATACTCTTGCTTACCATATTGGATATAAACGGTGTGAATGGAATGGTCTGTGAAAACATTGAAAGCGTTGCATGTCACATGCGTTGCTTGCGTCTAGTAATGGGCTCCACATAAAAAAACGACTTGCTCGCTGCTTTCATTGCTCTTGTTCATTTCCTTTAATATTTCTGTTTCATCAGAGTGATTGTACRCCTAATGTTGATATCGTTGTCAAGGTGATGGACGAAGGAGCCTGTAGAATTCGCAACAAAAAGGGCAGCTACAATGTACAAAAAGAAACTCCAAAAATCGCAACAGCCAGAATTAAGTCTGTTCGAAAGCAACACTGGATCGATAGAATATCCCGATTCATCTTTCCTACATTTTACGTGATCTTTATAATATGCTACACATCGTACTACCTCTCAAAGAGGAAAGAAGAATGAGCTGATTGAAGATAGATTTTTTCGATTGAGAGCTTAATTATGTTAAGGAGACTATAGATTTGCGCTGTAAACAGCATCCTCAGAGTCCTACTGTGCAGTACTGTTTGTGGTCATGGCGGTTCGAAATGTAGCGTGCTGCGAGATAGAGTCATTTGGCATTTTTGGCCTAATTGCGTCTACTGCTGAGATCTTTGGGGTACGAATTTAGCACTCCGCCCGTGTTCAGGTCGACAGCTCATTAAGCTTAAACTCCCATGCATCTCTTTCGAGAAATAGCAAGGATCTCAATAGAACAGATTTATTTTCATTTGTATGAAACGCTGCTGAATTTTTAACAAAGAATAGAAGTAAACAGGCTGAAAATGTCAAAGAAGCTTGATTGWGCCAGTTTATCGCTGGCGTTAACGGAAACTCTAAAATATATAAAAAAACATTACGGTCGCCATCTTGAATTTTTTCCTTTTGGATAGGAATTCTTTCCGGGAGTCATCTTCGGGAAAATTCAATATCTACATGAATTTCATTAGAAATGTATTTAATGGTGAAGTGCTCTTACTATAAGTCTAAAACGTACACAATAAACGGTGTTTGTTTGTTTTTTATTCGTAAATGTAACGAGCATTCATTAGTGAACTGAAGAGGTTTTTGAACGAATCTACTTTTCTCTGAATTTACCGTTTATTGTGTACGTTTTAGACTTATAGTAAGGGTACTTCACCTTAAATATATTCCTACGATTATGAAAAAGTCTTGTGAAGTCAAAAACTTAAAACAATTTCAGAAAAATTTTATTAGAAATTTCTAATTTTCCCTTTCAAGGATACTTATTCAATATGGCCGTTCATTTTGTGTGACCTAGAAAAATCAATTTCGRGTATAGCATCATAACCCGAGAAGCTTTTTAAAGACGTTTTCTCTTGTATACGAKTATTCCAGCTAATACACCCTCTTTCCGACTAATTTCAAAGACGTTTGGCAACGAAATCATTAAGCACTGTAAATTGAGATTAAATTCATACTAAAATAATTCAAACAAGAATACATAAATACAAAGATCTGTTTAAATCTTTGAAGAGAAACCTAGTATCCACCAAGCATCAAGCTAAAAAGGCAGCTCACAGTTTAGTCTCAGTGGTCTCTGTATCATTCTACCGGTCTGAATATTACGTTTAGACTTTCGATACCCATCGAGTAATTAAAAGTCACACTAAAGCGCATCCTACTTGTCACTAATTTGTTGGACTAGCTAGTAAACATCATAATTGGTCTCTAGTGCCGACAATGATGTCGAAATGTAAAACACTAGAAAACAAGACTTCAATCGTTTAAGATTGTAATTAAATTTGATGATTTGGGCAACCATTTGCAGAATAAAATTAAACAGAACAGCAAACAATTGATGGTAATTGACCTTTTGGGGATTCAAAAAGGGACTGGGAAAAAGTATGAAAATTATATGGAATCAGATGTACATATGTATTTCTGATGATAGAAATAAATAAAAGAAGCAGGGAACGCGGAGCGGGATCTTGTTTGGGGGGGCTAGCGGCGAGGAGGTACTAGGGGGGTCGAAAATTTCTGAAATCTTAACTCTCGGAAATGCCATTTCTAGCGTTTTGAGGCGTTATCCAAGACATATTTACCGCAGACACGGTCAGCAATATTATCAATAAAATCCCAAAGACTTCATAAGGAGGCTCTTCGCTTCTTTATTTAAGAAAATTCAAAATGTCGGAAATATTATTGGGGGGGCTGTAGCCCCCCAGCCCCCCCTGCTCCGCGGTCCCTGAGAAGAAATTAAATGTGAATGGGAAATATTCTGAAAATAGTCTTCTTCACGGGTTCCTGCGGCATCTTTAAAGGTAGCCGTGCCTTTGCATTGAAGCAAGAAGAYCGTTGAGCATGCAATGATAGAAACCTTCTTTCACACCTACAGACAAGTATTCACATGTTTCWATCATTGCACGCTCAACGATCATCTCGCTTTGATGCAAAGGCTCGGCTTCATTCCAAGATGGCGCAGGGAAACGTGAAGGAAACTATTATTCATTTTCCGCAGCCCTAAATCTCTTTTTTTTCCTTAAGTTAGCCAGCCCCCTTCGTAAGTTTCTGGATACGCTACTGAGCCGTACAAATCAAAACCATTTAAAAAATTTATTTAATGAACATTTTCATAGTTGATATTTTATAAAATGACGCGGACAAAGACAACTAAAATAAATTTCAAAGTAAAATTATGTCTCCGTTGAAATCAGTTGACCTARTAACAGGCTGACTACACTGGTCGTATCTTCATCTCAGCTTTTTTAACAGAATAGTAAAAACCCTTCCAGGAAGACCAAATCACACTCTCGCCGAATGCGTAGTGCTTACCAYTGTAGTACAGCCCATTAAGGTTTGATAAAAGGCAGGCGTCGTACCACCACGCACCACTGAACGTCACAGCACAATTGCTWCTGTACTCATCATTATCACTATCATGTGTGGTGAAAGCCATACCGCGGTGACGGGACAGCGAATCGCCTGCAGTACCTGCAACCAATAATAWAGCTAAAAAATCCACTATCAAAAATCGCAAAACTCGCAAACAAACAAGAAATCAACAGGCCAGAAAAGTAAAAACAAAGATTGACGAAGTCTGTCGTGTACAAAAATAATCAATGTAGATGTAGTGGGTGTGAGGAATTATCTGATGGTAGATAAACTGGTTACTATCATTAAACGAAGATTACTATTATGAATTGTTTAATGTATACCTGAGTAGTTACCAAGACTCAGCGTGTATTTATCACGTTCACTGGCCACAGCAAAGACGTCGTACTCGGCATACGCACTGTTTCCCTCCCAGTCCTCAAGCTCAACACGAAGACGGTTTCGTGTTTGATTGGTCAGTTTGTGAATCTTATCAAGACCCAGCCAGAGTTCGGCTTGTAGATCTCCAAAACCGTTTTTATAGTCATGCCATCCGAGATAAAAGTCAACCGCTGACCCGTTCATTCTTCTCTGGAAAACTGCCCAGTCCYCTCCTACCGAGATCTGGTCACAGTACACCTAAAATTATAATTCTCTGTTGACTGACTTCATTAATGGATTGTTCAGGATAAAGAGGTTGAATTTAGGTGAAGGAAAAAACAAATGAGATGTCCAACTTCGGAGTCCGCTAGTGTATGACTTACGCGATTTGCAAAGATGGCTCACTTCACCTTTTTAAACACAATTGGACGATAATTGAAATGCTATAACGGATTTGGCTTTCTAATTATTTCGACAAAATTGTCATGAAGCGGGTGTGAAGACATTTGCTGCGGTATGTCTGGAAAAATCGCGCACTTTGTAAAGGTTGTAAATTTGATGTAAATATTATGTAATTGTCTAAAATAATGTAAATTGGATGTAAATCGTCGAAAAAAACATGAAATATTTTGAAAAAGGTATTGCTTGTACTGACAGGGTTGATGATAGCAACACCTTCATACCAACGATATCATAGGGGTGCAGGGGGTGGTTCCAGGGGTTCCTGAATCCACTTCTCTTGGAGGACGAAGTCCTTAAATCATGAGACTACTTCCAAATCAATGGTATATAGTAACCCATTTTCGAATAGCCCAACAGTTTGTTCTGTGTGAATTCAACACGTAACCCGTGCAATTTTATCGCAGTAAATCGTGTTCTTACAGTGTTCTTKTCCAAATCCCCGACAAATGTATGCATATCATTGTATTCCATTTTTTGTATTGTTCTTAAAAGTTTTGTTGTTATGTGGATATAATACAATACAATTTTATGCATAACTTTGTCACATTATTAGACAACCCTCTCTTACARTCTTGAAAGGGCAAAATTAAGCACTGGAATTCCCCAACCTCCTGAAACTCATGCTAATCTTTTGTGCTCAGAGGAAGTTGGGTTGGGGGTGGTGGGACCCCTTTGATCCTAGTGGTCCCTGGCTCCGGCCGCCCTTGTATACTAGATGTGATTGATTACCTTGAATTCTCCTTTTCCATCGGGATCGATTGTGTATACACCACTTTGGGTGAGCCCACGATYGTAGATTTCGGCACAGTTTCTGGGGACTAAAAAATGATATAATYAAATTGCAGACACTGTACCCGTGAAAAAAAAAAAAAACATAATGGATTCAGCATAAGTAAATTGTCCCGAACRTATCCATAGTTGCTATGCGACGTTAAGAACATTGAATRACGTTCACACCGGTCYCGAAAAGATTTTGCAAATTAAATGGGAATTTAATAGTTCTGAAAAAACCAWTCATCATTAAWATTTACCCTTACCAGGACATGGATRARTGTTACAGTTTTCTGTCTCGTTGTAGGACCCAGTACAGCTCTTTCCTCCATGAGCAGGTGGTGGGYTGGTGCAAGATCGGTTTCGATATCGTGTTCCATTGTCACATAGAAAAGAACATGACGTCCAGTTGCTCCACTCGGTAAAATTWCCATCCACTGAAAGTTTCATAAATAGCAAAAATCCATTAGGGGCCTAAAAAGCACAGCACAAGAAACCATCTTATAAAACTGTTATTGATGCTTCATACAATTATATTATCTATTTTTGTCATTTAATTGTCKATTGRAAATCTCTCCCTCGTTCGCTCCACTCACTCGTGAAAGATCTTTTCACCAATCGAAGGCAAAATCCGTATTTCCGCTCGCCCATGTAATATCCTCTTTTTACATTATCATATWATACATGTATCAAATGTATCTATATGTACATTGAAACATAAACAGACGAAGACTGCGGGGTGTTAGATTTATGTCTATTTATCTTTATGGATATGAGGCAAGGCGTTTCTTGTCATTCAGGAAGAAKTGAAAACAATACAACTGTCTTTGTTAAAATCACCTTGGAAATTACGATGCTTTTTTCAGCTAATTGATAATCATTTATCTTTCACATCCCGAAAACATTTTGTATCTTCTTTTCCCTTTTYCCTTTTCAGTTATTTTTGTATTTTTTTCACTATTTAAAAAAGATAAATCTATAGTCCTGCAAAACTATTCATTATTCAACATAACCCTTTACCAGGACATGGATGAATGTTACAGTTTTCAGTCTCGTTGTAGGACCCAGTACAGCTCTTTCCTCCATGAGMAGGTGGTGGGCTGGTGCAAGAACGGTTTCGATATCGTGTTCCATTGTCACATAGAAAAGAACATGACGTCCAGTTGCTCCACTCGGTAAAATTACCATCCACTGAAAGATATGTGAATAGAAAATATCGAGTTGTGTATTAAAACGTATAACATACAAAAGCATCACATAAAACTATTGCAACATGGCACTGAAAAACAAACAGAGCAAAGCAGTCTTTATTGGATCGATGATGCAGTTTAATTATATCATTTAAACATTTTTGTACTTACCGGGTTCTTGGGGACGTGGCTCTGAATATAGAAAAAAAAATGTTGACAGAAAATTCAATCTMACACAAAACTGTCAAGAACCAGAAAATTATTGGAACAGGTAAATTTGGMAAACAGGGTCCGTTTATGTTCAAAGAGTGCATGAACTTATCCARCAAATATTTTTTCAAAATTTTGCCTTGCAGGAATTTTGTTTCGGCCATTTGGGCCTTGCAGGATTTTTTTCAAAAAACCTTCATTCCCCCCTTCAAAATTCTAATGGATCGCACCCAATATCCACTTCATAGGTTTAGCACGATTTCCTTCGCCGATCTATCTGGTGGATAGTGCTTTTCAGCCTTCGAGCAACCGTCCACACGAGATGATAAAGTAACGAGAATTGATAGAACTTTGTACCTGGATTCTTGAAGTACACAGAATCTTCGTTTACGACTGTCATATGGGGTGTGTTCTCGATTGCCCTGCTATTCAACTCACATAGAGACTTTTCTATGAAATAATTAATGCTCTGACAGCCTGGCTTCGCAGCACAGGCCCTGTAGCAACTATCGATATCGGCGATTTTCAAGGTGGACATAACATGGTTTKCAAGTTGTACTCCCCAAACCGAGGTRACGCAWTCAACCTCAGCRATTTGAAGAGCRAAAACACAAAGTATTCTGGWGTARCTCAGGAAAGTCACAATAACTTTCGATTTCCGCATATTAAGTGCTCAGTTTATCGTTACTGGCGAGTTCTGTCGGTTATCGTGTGAACCCGTACGCAAGTATAAATACATCCGCTCACCATCTGTTAACTACAAATATAAAACGTCGCGGTCCAATTCCGTGATATTGATACCTAATAAAGATTTCGGTTCTTTTGCCCTCAATGTTAAGTTGTTGTTTCTTTAATGTTGAGGCTTGAACATTCGAAACAATATTGAAATTAGGAGATTGTGCATAGCGCATCAAATTTTAGGTATGCCTGTCTTTGTCAGTTTTAATGAATTTTTTAACTTAGATATATTTTAATTGCGCACATCGCTTCCATATGGTTCTTTGTATATATTATATATATAGAATACAAAGAGACTCTAGGACTTCAACTTGAATTATTGAAGTGTTTAACATATGGTATACGTGATTTGATCAAAGAGCTTAAAAGGCCTCCAAACCCAGTAAAGAGCTGATGAATCATTGCTATCTTCGGAAGACCGAAGATATTTCATATAAACTTTAATTCAAGGTTCTTTCACCGGAAATTTGTTTATCGTCAAGGATTGTCTTAATTTTTRATTTTCTTACTTCAGAAACAATTGTTGACATCCCATCAATTGATGTTTTATTACTAAGTTAAGTCGTTYTAGTAGCATATGGAGAAATAGAGAAAGTAGCCAATCGCTCAACGGAAAAGCCTTTATCAGTGACAATTAAAAATARTTGTAGATTCATTGGTGAGTTCGATTCGCAATGTTGACAGAAGGTCTATATTAAAAATAATTCTCTCTTTAAATGATTTCCTGAGAAATGGCCATCCTTTTTGCTATAGTCCAATTCTTTTATACGCTCCTTTCAGTGACCGCAAAAGCTCAGCGCGCTCATCTTGTGATTTTCAGCATCCCGGGGGTCTGTACATCAACTGTCCATATTACGCCAGATTTTAGGAATGGAAAGTATGATTTATAGAAATGCATTTATCATATATTTATTTTTTTTCGGTCCGGCATCCTAGTTATTCGCACGCTGTGATTGGCTAGCKCGCGGTCCGGTTTTTCACGATCTGCCCGGTCMGATGGTATCCTGCAGCTAGGCCGCGAGCAAAGTTGCATTAAAAATATAAACAAACAAAAAATAAAAATGTTCTTTTCTCTAGTGAAAATAACGGTTACTTTCACTATAGTGAAAATATCACATTCGAGGTTTCTCTATATAGTGGAAGTAAGGAAAAATATATTTTACGACATAATTTGCTTTCACATGTCATTATTTATATGATAAATAGAATATCACATGGTCGCTTGGACATCACTCGTGCGAGATGTTTTCAACACTCGAAGATAAAATCCGTATCTCCGCGCGCCCATGTAATATCCTCTATATAAGTAATAGTAATAATAACGCAAAACCCCTGATTCAAATAATTCAGAAGACCTCTTTACTTTGATAAAAGTATGTCTTTTCTTCTTGAAAGGGAGTGCGGACTTTGAAGTTCAATAAACCAGCATAGCAAAACGAGTCGTATGAAATGTATCAAAATTTTTAATGTTGTTGTAATGTTAGTTTACTGTCTATATGAAAGGGAATAAAAAGTAAAGAGGGCCAATGATTTTAATTTCTGGGCATAATTAATGAGATTGGAAACCAAACCCAAGGTTTCGCGGTTTGGGTATTGTTGTACAAGGTTTTTGCCTTTCTTTAATTCTCATGTCAAAATGATTTATTGTTGTACTAGGTTTTTTCCTTTTTTTAATTCACATGTCAAAATGATTTAACTCCACGGCAATATGAAGAAACTTAAACAAACACGTTGAGGAAATCACAAAATCCACCCGATACCAACSTGTCATTGGGTGCACAATACTGCTTATTGATTAATATTCAGCTTCGGGCCCTCTATATTTAATTGAACGTTCTAATGCTACACCCACTCAACAATCTCACTCACACCAGCATAAAAAAATGCTTGTATAAATCCAATTTTCATATATGTATTAGTTGACTAGGTAAACTATTAGAGGTATATATAACGTATATAGCAATATCGATTTAGCAAAATACAAACGGATATTTCAACTGCCCGGCAAATTCGGTTTTGTCTTCTGTGCGAAAAATTCTGCCGAYTGTTTGTTTAATTTTGAMCACTTATAAGAATTTTCAGGGTTCTGAGTATCAAGTCATGCAGYAGTATTTTGAGAAYTTTTTTCTTTCTCATGTATAASGAGACAGCMAGGTTGAAGAGTTTCCCAACGGWTCGAGTACGAGATACGATACCTTCATTAGATGATTTAATTGGACGTTTCAGGCGAAAAGAAATGGACTCTATAGGAATGCCTAAGATATGGTATCATCATACTGTACAKTTCCTCTTGGTGCCAAACAGTTAATTGCAATATTGAATAAGTCATCTCTACTGTCCAAA